GTCGTCTCATGGAAGTCTAAGAAGTAGACTATGATTGCGCAGCCATCGATGGAATCTGAGTTCTTCGCACTTTGTGCTACAAAAGATGAAGCTGAGTGGCTCAGTTATTTTCTCTGAGACCTTCCATTGACAGAATTACAAGGCGCAATTACTATCTATTGTGATAATTAGGCGGCGAGTGCTATGATAGTAAACTCGATGTTCAATGGAAAGAAACGGACCATTCGTCTAAAGTATAGCTATTTAAGAGAACTCATTTGCCAATGAGTCATCTCTGTGATTGACGTCCGGTCTTCAGAGAATGTGACTGATCCTTTGACTAAAGGTTTGACAAAAGACGTAGTCAAAAATACATCTGCTGGAATGGGTCTCAAAGTTGGGTGAGTCTTACAAAGCTTACTATTTACATCAAGTTGTTATTTCAAAGCTTACGCTATTAATGATAAGATGATTGGTTCAAAAGTCAAGTAAGATTTACAAGTAAAATCCTATCATGGTAAAGAGGATGGCTGTTAAGCCTTAATGGGTCCAAAGCATTTCAGATGCAGGTTGTTGGATAGGTAACATGCCTAAAGGACTCACCAATGATCCTATCATATAAAGGGGATGACTGTTAAGCCTTAATGAGTCTAAAGCATTTTGGATACGGGGTGTTAGATAGGAAACACGCCTAAATGACTCATCTAGAATCCTATCATGAGAGAGGATGACTCTTAAGCCTTAATGAGTTCAAAGCATCTCGGATACGAGATGTTTGATAGGAAACATGCCTAAAGAGCTCACTTATGCCTAGGTGGAGATTTGGTCGTCTCCTATGGTATCTTGTGGAAAGATGCCTATAGCCCTAGCATAAACCAGGACATGCACAGGGCCATAAAATGTGCAATACCAAGGCAAATGCAAGTGTGGCTAAAAGTGAAAACTACCACAGATGAGTTTGATCTTGTGTGATCGCTGGATTTTTAGACATATACTGGTTCAAATCTCTACGACACCATGCATCTATCTTTTATTCAGTTGGTCTAAGGGGGATTCAAGTCCTTGCAACATCTACTTTATGCATAACGATTGAAATAACGACACCATTACACGACACTAGTTTTAAAAACTTGTGGGGATTGTTGGATTTTTTGGTAAAACCTGCTTTCCAAAAATGAGTTTTTAAACTATATATTTATTAACTACTGGTATTTTTTAGAAATCCTTAGTAGCGTAGTGGAAAGTAAAAGTTTTGGTGTTTTAAAAGGTCCTAAGTTCGAGGCTTGTCATAGGCAAGCCGAGAATTGTTTTATCTTAAATAAATTAATTAATCCCTCATAAGTACTAGTGGGTCGTGAGCCGTGGGCCGTGGGTCGTGGGCTCATGGGCTCGTGGACTCGTGGGCCGTGAGCCAATAAACCGGGGATCGGGGCTAATCGAGCTGAGACGCTAAGTGGCGCTTTGTTAGGCGCACTTCGCACAGAGGCATCGCGCCACGCAGGCTGCCTCGCAGGCTACTTTGTAGCATGCGGGTGAGCCTCGTGTTCGCAGTGTACGAGGATCTACACATTCACGGCTAACCCTCGCGTTTGTGCGAAGGTGGACCCTCGCGTTTGCAAGAGGGAACGCGACCCCGCGTTCGTGCGAGGATGCGAGCCTCACGATCGCGAGAGGGAACGCGACCCTCACGAGGCACGACGCGACCCTCGCGTTGCGTAGAAACGCGACCCTCGCGTTCATGCGTTACTGCATGCAGCAGTTACAATATTTAAGTCATTTGCTGGTACAATCATAATTATCATTATAATTTGTAACAGTCAAATTGACTGTGTGTGACCCTTGAGCTGGCCTGAGAGACTATAAATAGTGCTCCTTAAGGCAGCTCTTAGGACACACGAAAACACACAAAAGTATTGTAAAACTTGAGCAGATTGAATCTTTTAAGCTGTTGTGTTGCTGCTGCAGAAGTTTAAAAGTGTGCAAGTTTTAGCCTGTGCCTGAAGGAACATAGCCCTGAACCGAAAGGTTTTTACAGATTGAAAGATATTTGCCTAAACCGAAAGGTTTTTACAGATTGAAAGATATTTGCCTAAACCGAAAGGTGTTAACCGAAAGGTTTTGAACTGAAAAGTTTTAACAGATCGAGGAGATCGTTGCCTTGACTTAAATGTCTTATAGATCGAGGAGATCGTTGCCTTGACTTAAATATCTTATAGATCGAGGAGACCTTGACAATACTTGATTGGTGCATACCATTATACTGTACTGGTGTTCCTGGAAGCAGTTTGGTTTTGAGATCCTTGCACCGGAGTAGGCCAAATATTATTTTAAGTACAGCGTTTCTCAAACACACAACAGTTAACTTGAAAAAGTTTTAAAATACAACACTTCATCTATCTTACAGTCTTCTCTGTTTTATATCTATTTTGTTCTAGATTTAGCCAAATGCACTAACAGAAAATTCAAAAATGACAAATAGATCCTGAGAAATACAAAGTTATAAATAGATTCATGAAGAATACAAAAAATACAAACAATACCCTTAAAGATCCAAAATAAGCAATCCCTCAATCTGAAATTGGAACATGTCATCGAACATCTAAATATTTCAAACAGACCCTACAAATTTGAAAATTACAAATAACCACATAAAATTTTTGATTATTACAAATATCCATCTAAAAGTGAAACTTATAAATAACCCACTTTAGAAAACCAAAAATTACGAACAATCTCCTAAAAGATCCAAAAAAATAGATATAAAACATTGAAAAAAATCTAAAAAAGATAAACAGCCGTTGTTGATGTCAGTTATTAAACATTGGGTTATTTTATGAATTATGAGGGGGTCAGGGTCCTTAACCTTCCTCAGATGTTTGGTTCCTGAGAAAGAAATCATATCTTGCACATGAAGAACTCATAAGAGGTCGGAATTGGGATCTCCGATGGTTCCTCTGACGATCAAGTCAGAATTGAGCTTGAGTGGGGAAGTAAAAGTTAAGTAGCAAATGGAGTTGCTCAAAGTTGCTTAAAAAGCTTCAAATAGCTTAGAGTTGCTTACCCTAGGCAGCATGCATCAATTCCCTTATATAGTAGATCATAAGGGCAGACAAGTAACTTTCACCGAGTCCAGCTGGTGGCTTGGTCGTTATCTACTTTACAGGTGTCGGCTGCTGAAGGGGATGAGTTATTCAGGTGTTTAATGTGGAGATGACAGGGTGCATGTAGTGCTGGCAAGGTCCGATGAGTAATAAAGACTTTCGGGATATAGTAATGATGATTCTGATCATGCATTTAAGGTGATGGCGATTAACTGTCGGTGGGGGGTTCGAGGGTGCACCGCCTTGCAAGTCGTTTCACTATTGTCAAGCGAACATCGCCTTTTTAGTCAGCTCGCAAGTTGTCGGATTGGAAGAGCCGAATGCTAATAAGGAGTGGAGTCGACTAGAGTGGTAGGCCAGGTGAGGATTCTTCTTGTCTCGATCTTGCGAGTAAGTCGATAAGTACTGTCTTTTTAGTCGGCTTCGTAAGTTGTCAGCCCATTGGGTCGATCGATGGAGTCACTCGAGTCGTCCCTTTGTAAATATGGCCGTTTAGGTATAGGGTGGGACACGTGTCGGCCATGAGATAAACACTTAAAACTATTTTTGAATGCTATAACAATCGTTATTTAGTGTTTTTACCGAAAATTTTGGGGGTGGGGGGGGGGTGGGTGGGGGTGGGGGGGGGCAAAACTAAATGTTAGTTGAGGTTTTTTCCAAGATATATTTAGTGTTTTTTGGTCATTTGACCATACATGAATTGATGGTGTTAATTTTGGGTGTTTTCTTTCAAAACTTATTGGAGGTTTAGTAAGAGTTTCAAAAATATTCGGGGTTCAATATCAAACGCCCAACATTATTAGAAATTTAGTGAAATTTACTCATATTTCAATTTTTATAGAGGATAGATTAGTGCTCACACGCGATGACCAAAATTTAGCGAAATTTACTCATATTTTAATTTTTTATAAAGGATAGATTGGTGCTTACGTGATGACCTTATATCTATTGAAGACACGTAAGTTGGCTATTAAACTTCGGTGAGGCTAAAATTCTAAATGGACAGGTGAATCAAGTAAAATGCGTCATAAAAGTATAAAACCAGGATCTTACCCTATTAGCTGAATAAAGTTCTAAGGACAAACTGAATCATATAAAAGGGTAGAGATGGAAAAGAAATGGTTTAAATCTCTCCTTTATATTAAAAAAAGAGTTGTAGTTTACTATTACCCTTGCATCTCAAATAACTGACACATGTTTCTCTTTGATTTTGAAAAATAAAACAATCCACACATTTATTGAGTGAGCTAATGTTTTCTTATTATTTTTATTTTTTTAATTTCATAATTATGACAAAAGTAGGACATTATGAAGGAGAGTTTGGTGGTTAAGCCATCTAATTTAAATTTCAATTTTTAAAGTAAAAGTCATTCATGCCGTCACTTTGTATTTGAATTAAAAGAACTCAAGCTCAAGTTATCTAATTTTGAATTTGAAATTCAAACAATCTCTTTTTCATCTCACATTCTATGCTAAACACAGGACTATGGGGTGTTTGAAAGGTAATATCATGTTTATCTTTATAATATAAGTCATAGGTAATGATATAAGCCATATGTATGCTTATATTCATATAATAATAATAATAAAAGAGTGTATAACAAACACAAAGGAGCAACAGGTCAAATAATTTTTTAGTGCAATTTAACTTTTAGAGGCACAGCATGACCAAAAAAGAAACTTAAAGAGAACAAAAAAAATCAAACATACATACCAAAGAAATCAAACCAACCCGTGCAAGTACAAGCACAACACTTGTATTAAAAAAGAACAAAAAGTAATAAAGTGTTTTAACAGCTGCCTGAATTACAATTTACAACCCTTTATAGGTTACAGGGAAAAAAAATGAACAAAAATTTTTCCCACACATAAAGCGGCACTAATGCAACAACGAGTCCCAATGAGAATTAGATGAAAAGGTCATAAAAAAAAGGATATTCATTATCATAAAATCTATGTTAAAAACAAATGGAATATTATATTAATACAATGAATATTCAGTATCTTTATAATTGTCCATTCATCAAAATGGAGATGTGGTACTTCCAATAGGCCATTAACCTATATAACGGAAAGAATTATGACCATCCCATGAATGAAACCACCCAACGGAAAAAAAATAGGAAAAAAGCAAAAGAATTTACAGAACGCCTGGGCTTTATAGCTCAAATATTGAAAGAAAAGACCTTCAACCGCAAAATCTGAAGCAGCCTTGCTCCTCTTCTTCGTCATAACCAGAAAACAAATTATTTTTCCTATTTCCAAAATTGCAAGGACTGGCATCTCAGATTCAAGGTTCAAGCGTGCTTATCTCAGGCCGATCATTCTGGTTGAACTATATCATGCCTATGAAACCCGATAATATTTATTAAGCTAAACAAAACAACATGAGTTCTTCGTATAAAGATATCAAAAATCTAGAAATAAAGGTATTATGCGGAAACATACCAATAACCTGGGGACAGAAACTAGGACCAAGGAAACACAGTACAAGAAGACAGAAAGTACTGCTCCAGCAATGAAATTATGTAGCAACCGCTTGTCGTCTTTACTGGGGACGAAAGCAATTTTAAGTGAATTTGTGAGATCGAAGATCCGATATGATATCTGAAACAACAGAGGCAGAGGAGAAAAACAGCGTGAGTTATTATGAGCACATAATAGAGAACTGGTTAACACTCAATAGCAGGAAGCAAAAAGCACTTACTAAGAGATAAATCGCTGTTGTGAGCAGGAAATTGAGCAGTGGGTAGTCTGGGATGAAAGAAAGAAGCCATTTAGGCTGACCATTAGGCAAGTCTGACCTGCAAACTCCACATGATACAAGCATTAGAAATTATTATTTACCAAGTGAAAGCATACGAATTTAACAATTGCGGCTTCAAGCAAATCTTCCTGATAACAAGCTCATGACTTGGCTGAGTCACGACGATCTCTATGCTTAACACGTAATCACATTTCAAGTTCACATGACTCAAACAACTTTAAAGCTAGCACTAATGTTATTATCATTCTAAAAGCGACCAAGTATACAGTAGAGAGGGAAAACCCACTAGAGTTTTGTTTCTTTGTTCTATTAAATTCCACCTCAATGGCAAGGAAGTTGCGTAAGAGTGGCCCTTCAGAGTTGAGTAGATAAACACTGATGACACAAACCGATTCAAATGCTTGTGAATTGTAATCATTGTTAATGTTTGTCCTTGTTGCAAAAATAAACTTGGACATGACAGACTTGACCTGCTCATGTGATCTTAATACTCCAATGATACAACATTTAAATGAAACATGTAGCAGTATTTATAATACTCGCATAACTTGGACATGACAGACTAGACCTGCTCATGTGATCTCAATGCTTCAATGATACAACATTTAAATCAAATATGTAGCAGTATTTATAATACACGCATAAAGGCGATCAAATATTTGAATTAGACTGTTAAAGGTTCCTGTAATGTTCTGCTGCTGTACGTAAATGACGATCTTCACAGTTAAATGTGTTCAACACATAAACATCAGTTTGATGTTATTGATAGCTAAGCTTGCTCAATACGAATTGGTAACTCACATTCATAGGCTTAAGCTGTTCAGTATTATCTTACAGCTATTTAAATGCATTAATCACAACAACTTCTAACCAGTATTTAAAAAATCTGTTATGTAACTTATTATTTGTGTTATACACGATAACACAGCGTTAACATTATGCAACATTTTAAGCAAATCAAATAACTCATGGAACCTCATGCATAAGAAATTGGTGAAAATTTAACTCCCAGACTCGGTATAGAAGGTATTTCAAAAAAGAACTTAAACATGCACACCTCAGCCAGATGTGGAACTGAGAGATGTATGTCTCCAGAGTAATCTTGCCAAGCCACCTATTAAAAGAGAGCAAAGCTGATGTTATAAAGAATGATGGTAGTATAAGCAAACATCATGAGAGGTTTTGTGGATGTTACATGTAACTTACGCAAAAAGAGTCAAGGAGAAATTGCGGAGATGCTGTGTGAAATTCCGCAAGCAAATGTAAACACTGAGTACATAGAAACCACGAAAAGGTTATGACGTTGTAACAACTTTTACAAAATGATACTAACTGCTAAAGTTTCAATCAGATTACCAATACGTACGTGATAGGAATCCATGATGTGTAAGGATGATACTTGTTGTATGTAACCTTATCTAGCTTGTAGATGAATTCATACCAAAGATAACCAACCTGCAAGTGCAAGAATTATACAAACTGTCAATTTGTGAAATAAGATCAACAAGAAGAAGGTATTATGGGGTCAACTGAGCAAATCCCGTGACTCACCACCAAAGCAATTGTAACAATGCTCGTTTTGACTGATAATTTGCGTTTGGTTTCAGATTCTTCTAGCTTCTCCATCCATCTTTCAACCTATTAGATAAAGGGGCTCGAGATGAGAACAACGAGAAAGATGACATGCAAGTTTGCAAACAAATACACATGACAATGTGATAACTGTTAACCAAATTCATTGGCTACATTATCAAAATAACTAGAAACTGACAGTTGGGTGATAATATGCATATATCATTCCAATGATCCAGATATAACGATCAAGACCAGATCTAAAGCGCCATTCATGCAACAGGGGTAGGTTTTCTTTAGAAGGATCTGCATCTTTAAGTCCTGTATCCAGAACAGATAATTTAGGTTTCCAATATCCAAGATATGTACTATATGAAAAAAATGAAGAATGACTTAAATAGGTACAGACCTACTAAAAAGGTAAAAGGGCTCCATATAAGTTCAAAAACTCCAGGAACTTCCCAAATTAATATCACCACCAAAAAGCATGTGATGATCTTAATTATCATCACCGATCCAATCTCATTATATTTGTTAAAGATGCCTAGAGCCCCATATACCATAAGCGTGAAGAGTGTGTGCATTGGACAAATGTAATATAGCATGTAGTCATTGTTCAGGACAATACAACAGAAGGTCACAAAGAAGTTTAGCCGCCACATCATCTGCATTTGAAAGGAACATGTTTTCTCAAGTATTAGTCAGAAAGTTAAGATGACTAATCGATTATTGTACTTGAAGACGAAATAAAAACAGTATGGCACCTGTGCAAACCGAGCAAGGCTAAAATCTTTCCGTATGTAATAATAAGAGAAATTCCCAAATCCAGTCATCCACACATAAGCAGCAATGAACACACGAATTGCATTATAAATCTCAGCAGCAGCGAAGTAGTGGTACATTAAAAATAAGACCTGGAGAGGAAACATGAAATACAATCAGTAAAGACTATGAAAATAGCAAAAGATTTACTTATTTTGGGTGCATGTGCTCTACACTTCCACATGCACCCACTTTTCACACAACTTTGAATATTAAATGATCCCAAGTAGATAATGATTTCATCAAGTAGTCATATAAATGAATGTGTCACTTTTTCGCTTTTTGTCCCTCCATTTCTTTTGTTCATATCTGGAAACTGTTTAGTATCAACAAACAAAGAATACATATCTAATACATGTAGTGCTATGCCAAAAGTCAGCACACAAAGCCCCAAAGTCCTTTAGTTTCCCCCAATAATCCAGGATCAAGGTTATTCAACCTATGGGCAGGTAGTCCTTATGATGCACATCCTTCCTTTCAAAACAAAAAACTGCTACTGCCTACTACTACTATCACAAGACGAGAACAGTCGTAAAGTGCTTCAAGTATCCGGTTTCTACAATATTTCTTGGCAAGTTGCCTGTTAATCTTATGGAGATTCTCTTTATGCTTTTTTCTATTGAGAAAACCATCGTGTGTCATTTGAACATGTTTTTAGCATGAATAATCATGCAAATCTATCTTTAAAAGAATCGCCAATCTGAATTCTCCCTTTACCATGAAATAATCTCAACTCCTTGATTCCTCTATTTTTAATTCATTCATCTCAAAAACACAAGGTTCGAAGACATGTATTTGTGTGGAACTAAGTTGCGTGGATATGGGTACGGGTGCAAGTATAGGACACGACAAACTTGTAAAAAAGATAGGATACGAAGACTCAGCTGAAAAGCATGGGCCAAAAGCATAGTTTTAAGCTAGACACGAAAAAGACCCTTCTAAATCGTAATTCTCAACTAAATATGGGTTAAAACCAACTCAACCCTTGTCTAACAAGTTTCAAAGCGGATTGCAGGATATATGTCCAAGAACTGTGCAACTAGTGTTTGAGATTAAAACATGTATTGTATATTTGAGCACATGTCTAAACAAATGTATGAAAATATTTAAGGAGTCTCCATGAAGTGTCCATGAAGTGTCAGGTAAATATTTAAGGAGTGTCCAAAAATACTGTGTACGGGCACAGGATGTGTCGGGCAAGGGGTACCGTTGACACGTGTGTATCTTCTCTGCTTCGGGAACTTAGCGATCCTCATGAGAGATCGAGGATAGATGATTCTCATTGTAGCTTGAGAATAGAAGCGTGGGCGGAGTCGTTGATAACGGCGAAAACGGTGAAAATCAGGAAAATGGTGAAAATCAAGAAGATGGCCAAGCAGCTCTGGTAAGTCGACTGATGGGCTAGAATTAGTCGACCGATGAAGCAGTATCGGTCGACTGATTAGTCATCATCAGTCGACCGATAACCGGATACAATACAGGATCAGAAAAACAAGTTCTGGACAGTCGACTGATAGACTAGCATCAGTCGACTGATGAAGCACTACCGGTCGACTGATGAGCAACCATCAGTCGACTGATGAGCAACCATCAGTCGACTGATAAGCAACCATCAGTCGACTGATGAAGCACTACCGGTACCATCAGTCGACCGATAGCAGGTTTCCTGGACCGATCTGGATTCCTATTTTGGGCGAATCCTATTTGGGTTTGTCTTGAATATTTATCACTTTGTCACCCACATTGTTTAACATACAAATAGAAGTTGTTTAGGGTTTCCAAACATCAGATTAGAGTTTTGAGAGGATAGAGATGTTGTTCTTTATTCTAGAGAGATTGTGAGGAAGAGATTTGTAATATTTTATTCTTTATAATCTAGAAAATATATTTTCCTTCGCCAAATTGAATTGTTCGTGTGTTTTGCTATTTTCTTCATAAAATATTCCTTTGATAATTCTGCGATCAAAGGTGCTCGCACGACGACTTGTATCAAGTTGGTATCAACGCGAATCAGATCCTGAGAAGGGGTATCATGTGTATGGTCCTTATTCGATCGTAACACAAGAAGCTAGGCGAGATTCTTGTTTCTTTGGAAGAAGTCCAGAAATCAATGAAGAAGAAGATGACGGATAGCAATGATTCAACAAGGTTTGATGCGATGGAGAAACAGATCGAGACAATCAATTTCTCTCACGAAGCTCGTCGATCTCATCCACGGAGGCGACAAGAAGGTTTATTCTTCGGCGGGACCAAAGAGGAAACCTATAGAATCCGATGGAGACAAGGAGAATTCAGACTCCGATGAGAGTCCAAGCTGTCAAGACTGTTCCATATCAAGGGAAAAAGGGTTCTTACCAGAATTTGAAAATTAATTTCAAAGTGAATATTCATGTTTATGATGGGAGTGTCAACGTTGAGAGGCTTGACGATTGGATTGAGCGTATGGAGACCTATTTTACTCTTTATGGCTATTCGTCTAATGAGAAGATCGTTTTCGCGACACTGAAGCTTTCCGTGCATGCTTTGACGTGGTGGAAGTATTACTGCAAGCAGGAGAAAAAAATTTATGTCGTGGAGCTGGTTTAAGGAGTTACTGAAGAAGCAGTTCTACCCGGTGGGATTCCTTAAAGAGGGTTGATATAAGTGGTACGGCTTACGCCAACGATTCAATCAAACCGTTCAAGAGTACACTACAAAGTTTCAACAGCAGGCTATGATCCTCAACATTGCGACGCAGGAGTATCCTGTTTTTATGAAGTATATGGAGGGTTTGAATGAATACATTCGAAAGGAGATGAAGTTGTTCATGATTGAGTCGATTGCGAAGACGAGCGCAAAGGCTATTGCCATTGAAAGCAAGCAGAAAAAGAGCAACGAGACAAAGGGAGATGCCAAACAAACTGGAGGCAAGTCTAGTGGCACCCAACCTAAGGAGAAGAAGAAGGGTGATCCCGAGAAAGCGGGACTAACTTGTAATCATTGCAAGCAGACAATACACGTCGCTGATTGGTGCTGGGATAAGTATCTTTATCACAAACCGAAGGGGTTGAAGGAGGAGAAAAATACATATGTGATAGCTCAATGCAGTGTTTTAAATATCGGCCGCCATGTCGGACATGGCGCGGACATGGCGGCCGATATTGCGGTTTTGTTGCCTAGCCGATACGAAATCGCTGATTTTAACTCGTATTGCGTTTTTGGGGTCATGGCGGGGATATATCGGAAAAAATCGGACATTGCGGGCGCCATTTCGGGGATCAAAAATCGGCCAACTTTGTTAAATATCGGTTTTAGGCTTATTGGGTCGAATTTGAACCCGACCCGACCCAACCCAATAAGCCATATTAGTTTTAAGCTAGGGTTTTTTTCCCCCATTTCAGCCGATCCTCAACTCAGCTGCTCCTTCTCCTTGCGACGACGTGGAATAGACGACGCCGAGAGTATAACATGCCTTTTGTGCTGAGTTTTTACTTGGATGGATGAGAATGATTTCGGTTAGGGCAGGTATATGCCAAACATGTTAAAAGGCAATCTAATTCCCGTGTTTCTTTTTCTTTTTCTTTTCTTGTTTCCTTTCCCTTTTTTTATTTTGGAAACCTTATCAAAATTATTCTCCAAAGACCGAAATTTCAAAACATAAAGGAGATCCATTAATTCCTCTCCTCACGCTGAATCCGTCATGCTTTGCTTGCATTTACATGAGCAAGAGTGTTACAGTTGGAAATAGTGCTATTAGTGTGACCTCTTTTAACTGCAGTGTCGACTTTGTCATGAGAAAAATCCCCCTCCCCTCTAGCTTTGACATAATTTCTACAGTAGTTTTATTTTTCGGATAATTTGTCGAGTCCATGTATCTGTGCTTAAGTAATCAAATATTAATATCTGTATTAGATCCGATCAAATGGATGTATCTGTGCGAACGTTGTACATATAGCTTTTGTTTCAAACTGTTATTTACATAATTGTTTCAAACTGTTATTTGATTGATCCTTCATTCTTGCTCGTTGCTACTTAACTCTCAAGTATAATCTGTAAAAAAGAAAAACAAAGTCAGTGAGCAACAACAATTTAGTAATTAGTATAATTAGAAAAAGAGCTTAAAACTAGTAATTAGCATGCATGAATCATGATTGAATTGTATAATCAGTGACACCATGCATGAATCATGATGCATAATTATTTGATTGAATTGTAAATATATAATTGGTTTTAACTTTTAACTTTTAAGTTTGTTTAAAACTAATTATATGTTTGTTGTCTATTGTAATTTTTAGGAACATGTCATCAGAAGGACAAGGGTCTACTAAGCCGCCAACATCAAAACCGGGCGGTAAAGATCCATGTTGGGCATACGGGGAGAGAGTTGGCTCCGATACCAACAAGATTAAATGCAAATATTGCACTCAGACATTCAATGGCGGGATTACCAGATTCAAATCTCATTTAGCCGGAAAGAGAGGGAATTGCACACCGTGCATAAAAGTCCCTGATGATGTTAAAAGAAAAGTCTCTGAAATACTGGAGAATGCAAAGAAGAGCAAGGAGGATAAGGAGACAAAGATCCATAATTTGTTGAGTGAACTGCATATAGGAGAGGAAGAGGAGGAGCATAACTCCTTGACTACTCGAAGCTCGTCATCCTCTTACAAACCAGTAGGCCCAATGGACTCCTTTGCTGCTCGTTCTCCCTAAGAGACCGCCCAATTAGTAGCTAAGGGCAAACAACCATCGATGGACTCCAAGCTAAGAAAGAAGAAAAGGGAAGATGTTATGCAATACATTTCCAAATGGTTCTTTGAAGCTGGCATTCCATTTCATACAGCCACACTTCCCTCTTTTCATCAAATGCTACAAGCCGTGGGGATGTTTGGAAGTCATTTACAAGCTCCATCAATGTACGAGTTGAGTGAGACTTGCTTGCAGAGAGAGGTGGATGCAACGAATGAGATTGTTGAGAACTTCAAGAAGACATGCATTGTCAATGGTTGTTCCTTGATGACTGATGCTTGGAGTGATCGAAAGTCTAGAAGTATCATGAACATAGTTGTACACTCTGCCGGGAGGGCATGTTTTTTGTCTTCACATGATACATCGGCCGATAAGCATGATGCTGACTATATTTGTGACTTCGTAGACAAGGCTATTGATGAGTTAGGGGAGGAAAATGTGGTGCAGATTGTCACTGATGGGATTCAAATAATATGGCGGCCTCTAAGAAATTGGAGGAGAAGAGGAAAAACATATTTTGGACCACTTGCGCAGCGCACACCGTGAACTTGATGTTATGTGACATAGCCAAGTTCAAACCCATTCATAATGCCATTACAATGGGGAGGAGTGTATCGGTATTTATATATAATCATACCAAGCCTCTTCAATTGTTTAGAGAGTTTACTAAGGGTGATCTTGTGAGACCGGGGGTTACAAGATTTGCTACGACATTCCTCTCACTGCAATCATTAAGGGATCACAAGAAAGAGATGAGGCGGATGTTCATCTCTGATCAATGGATGGATTGTAGCCTTTCAAGAACAACAGCGGGCAAAAAGGTATGTATTTAAACTTTAAAAATTAAAATTGATAGCTACAAAGTATTCCTTTCATCATTTATATTTCATTCATTCTTTAATTGTTTGTATTATTTATAGGTTGCTGAGATAGTTGCTAGCAACAAGTTCTGGGACAATACAGACTTTGTCCTCAAAGTTTTCAATCCTTTAGTGAAAGTTCTCCGGAGAACCGATGGTGATAAAGTCCCATCTATGGGATTTATATATGAAGATATGTTGGTGGCCTTAGAAGAGTTGAAAGTAGCCCTTGGAAATGATGAGAAAAAATATATTCCCATATTAAAAATGATTAAGCCAAGATTCAATAAGAAGCTTTGTGGTTCACTACATAAAGCGGGCTACTACTTGAATCCATATTTCTATTATCCGGCTTACACGGAAATTGAAAAAGATGGAACTTTCATGACATCCCTTGTAGATTGTATGCATAAAATCTTCCCAAATGACCATGCGACTTTCACAAAGATTGGAACTCAATTACCTAATTATCAAGAATGTATAGGGTCATTTGGAAATGAATATACGAAGCGAGGAGCTTCTAAGGGTGATTGTCCAGGTAACTTTATAATATTAAATTAATTCATTAACCTCTATTACAAATTTATAAGTTACTAATTTTTTCAAATATGAATTAACTAGTTACATGGTGGAGGCTTTATGGGAATGATACTCCCGAATTGAGAAAGATGGCAATGAGGATTTTGGCCTTGACAACTAGCTCTTCGGCATGTGAAAGAAATTGGAGCACATTTGAGATGGTAATAAACTAATAATGATTGAATTTAGATTATGTTGTAGCCTTGTAGGTTTATAGCATTTTGTGCTAATTCATGTTTTCACTTGTAGATTCATACTAAGAAGAGAAATAGATTATCTCACAAAAAGCTTCATGACCTCGTCTTTGTCAAATTCAATGCAAAATTGAAGAACAAACATGCTGTCATAGATAGAGATCCTTTGTGCGCCTATGATGATGAGGAAATGGTCTCTGAATGGTTGATGGGTTCAAACGGGGATGATAGCGATGATGAAGTATTTCCGGGAGAATGTTTGACTTTTAGGCAAGTTGGTGACATTTCAGGAGCTAATCCAAGAAAGCGAAAAAGTGCACGAACGCAAACCTATAAAAGAAAGAAAATGTCGATATCATCTTCTTCGAAGGGGAAGGAGCCGGTGGAGGATGATGAGGAAGAAGATATTGAGACATCCTCGGAGTCGAATGAGGAGGATATTCCTACTCTCGATTTTGATGAGGATTGATTATAGTCATCTTAGTTTCAATGTTATTTTGGAATTACTTTTGGATAATTGGATGTTAAACAATTATGAGCTATTTGTAACTTTGAAAACTTGGTTGTATGCTTGCTTTGTTTATGTTTCTCTATGGATATGAATCTTGTGATTTTCATTCTATATATTATAATTTATATGTCACTTGCTTCATTCCTTATATGCTATTCTATGTTTACTAACAACATCTTCATATTTTGTAGGTCAAGCATTCGGATGGTGTCAATATGCACTCGGGAATCAGGTGTCTACAATTGGTTAGTGATCCTAACATCAATAATCATATGTTTAGACAATATAATTATCAAGTATGTGAAGATTTCATTTATGATATTATATCAACCTATCCGATATGGCAATCCGATATTTTTTTATGTCCCCCGATATATCCCCGATTTCCGCTATCCGACATGAATTTTGGCCGACCGACATGAACCCGACATCCGACATTTAAAACATTGGCTCAATGCCTAAAAGAAGTTCTAGGGATGACGAAGCCCAACAACAGTCTTAACCTTATGACAGGGAAGCAGACCGCGAAAGGTGGATTATGAAGGAGGCGGAACTAAGTGTAGTCAATCAATGCACGTTCAGATTTGCACTCCATGAGTCATATATTGACGAGCTCACCTACGACGTCGTTCCATTGGATGTTTGTCAGGTTATACTAGGCAATCCTTATTTGTGGGATAGGTACACAGTCTATGACAGGCGGGCTCAAAAGTATACGTTCACCAAGAACGGAGAGCAGTTCATATTTCGTTCGACGTCTCTTCCGCAAGAGACAAGCTTGGTGACAGTGACTCAGTCGAAGAGGCTAGTGAATGCAAACAAGAAGTTTGTTTTATTATTCATTAAGCCTTACGATGAGCAACTGAGTAGAGTATGCTTGACTATCTTGAGCAAGCTTCAGGAGGAAAATCTTAACAGGCTGAAGGCCAAGTATGCAGAATTATTTACAAAGATCACTGGACTATCACCGAGACGGAGTGTGAAACACGAAATTATGTTGACGGGAGAGTTGTTTGCCGAATATAGGTCTTTACCGCATGTTTGTACAGGAGTCTGAGGAGATAAAAAAGCAAGTGCAGGAGCTTCTGGAGAAGGAAGTGACAGTACCGAGTTGTTCGCCTTATGGGTCGCCAGTATTATTGGTGCCCAAAAAGGATAGAGGCTTGTGCATGTGTGTGGATTACCGAGTGCTCAACAAGATTATGGTCAAGAATCGTTACCCACTACCACGGATCGATAATCTTATGGACCAATTGGAGGGAGCGAGGTTCTTCACAAAATTAAATCTCAAGTCTGGTTACCATCAGGTGAGGATTCGGGAGGATAACACTTGGAAGACTGCGTTCAAGACCAAATAGGACATGTTTGAGTGGTTGGTGATGTCGTTCGGGTTGTGTAACGCTCCAGCGACCTTTATAAGGCTGATGAATGATTTGCTGCGGTCTTTTATTGAGGATTTTGTGATAATTTACCTCGATATCATCTTGGTGTACAGCAGGACCTGGGAGGAGCATATTGTTCATGTCGAAAAGGTGTTTGAAGTATTGCGGGACGGTCAGCTGAAGCTCAACGGGAAGAAGTGCGAGTTTGGGAAGGATGAGTTGGTGTATCGACTTCATCGTGGGAAAGGGCCAGCGGATGATAAATCCAAGCAAGATTGAGGTTATCACAAGGTGGCCGACACCTAAGATGGTAACGGAGGTGCGAAGCTTCATGGGGCTTACCAGTATTTGCGCAAGTTTATTCGATATTTTTCTACTTATGTGGCATCTTTACATGGCCTTACTAAGGCGAAAGCTCAGTTCGAGTGGGATAGGATGCATGAGGAGTCTTTTCAGTTACTGAAGAGGAAGATCTCGGAGGCACTAGTGTTGACATTGCCTAATTTACAGAAGACCTTCGAGGTAGAGACTGACGCTTCTAGCTATGCTATGGACGTTGTGTTGATACAGGATAGGAAGCTGATAGAGTACTATTCTGAAATATTTACGGGTGTTATTCAAAACTATTCTACTTACGATAATGAGTTTTATGCGCTCTACCAGACGATCAATCATTGGAGGGTGTACTTGTTAGGTAAGGAGGTAGTTATGCACTCGGATCACAAGCTATTGGAGTTTCTACATGCCCAGACGAAGCTACATCAAGCACGACACATGAAGTGGATGTCCTATTTGATGGCGTTCAACATCGTCATTAGGTACAACAAGGGGGCCCAAGTTGATCGATATGCTATCTCGACCGCTAGTGAGAGCTTTGTTGGTGGCGACGTGTATTCAGCCATTGGTTTCTTTGGAATATATGCAGAAATACATATCCAACAGAGACTTCAGCAGTATGTTCGAGCAAGTGAAGGCTGGTCGGAAGGGGGAGTATGAGCCCGGAGCGGATGGTTTGTTGTATCGTGAGACATCGCTTTGCATTCCGGAGGATGGTGATCGGTTGTAGTGGATTAGAGATGCACATACATTACGTGCGTAAGGTCATTTTGGGATTCAAAAGACGTTTCTCAATTTTCGACGTTATGTCTTTTGGCCAAAGATGTTAGAGGATGTTACTAAGTATGTTGGAGGGTGTAAGCTATGTTGCATATCAAAACCTTCTAACAGAAAGAGGGAATTGTATCTACCATTATCAGTACCTTCTAGACCGTGGGAGAGTATCTCTATGGATTTCCTAGGAGGGTTGCCAACGAACAAGCAACAACCAAGCGCGGACATGATTACTTGTTCGTTGTAGTGGACCGATTCAACGAGATGGTGATCTTGATTCCTTGCAAGAAGACCGTGACAGGAGCGGGTGCAGCACAGTTGTTCTTTGAGCATGAGTGAAAGTACTTTAGTTTGTCGAGTTCGATTATTTTAGATCCGGATAGCAGGTTTCTCAGGTATTTTTAGGATTATTTGTAGAGTTTGATAAACACCAGATTGAAGAAGAGCACGACCTTTTATCCACAAACAAACGGACAGACAGAAGTAGTCAACCGAACTATGGTTCACATGTTGTAGGGTATAATTCCAGACATCCCAAAACTTAGGATGAGAGCTTACCATATCTTCAGTTCACTTTCAACAGGGCTATTCACGGATCTTCGGGAAAATCGCCGTTTGAAACTTGTTATGGGTTCCTACCTCCAAGTCCGTTCGATTTAATATTCTCTAGTGAAACTACGGCCGATGGCAAAGAAGGGAGCGAAAGACAAAAGGCTCAGCGATTTCTGGAGAAAATTGCGCAGATTCACGCCGTCGTTAAAGCACAATTAAAGAAGTTAAAAGCGAAATACAAGACGAAACATGATCAACATCGAGTTCCTCGTAATTTCGGCAAAGGTGACATGGTGTAACGGAAGTTAGGTAAGGAGCGACTAAAGGGAGAAGGAAAAAAATTGAAGCCTATACGATATAGTCCATTTCGGATTATTGATCAGATCGGTGACAACGTCTTCAAGTTGGATTTATCACCTTACTTAGACATGTATTCGATGATCAATGTCGAGTAGTTAAAGTTGTTCGAGCCTCCATTGCTGGACGATGAGGGTGACGACAAAGTAATCTTGCCGCATGTTAAAAACTTATGGTTTGATAGAGAAGAGCCGTTGAAAGAGGATTACATTTTGAAGCGGAAGGTGACTACAGTTAGACGGGGGATGAATGAGTCATTTCTGGTTGGACGTCAAGGCTAGGTTCCGAGCAAAGCTAAGTGGTTCAACAAAGAAGGAGGAGCTCGAGAGTTTTCTCAGCTGAAGTTCTAACTTGAAAGGAACTTCAAGTTCCTAAAGGGGGAGCCATGATACGGATGTACCTTCTATGCTTCGGGAACTTAGCGATCCTCATAGGAGTTGTTGATAACGACGAAAACGGTCAAAATCAGGAAAATGGCGAAAATCAGGAAGCTGGCGAAGCAGCTATAGTAAGTAGACTGATGGGCTAGAATCACTCGACTGATGAAGTACTATCGGTCGACCGATTAGTCATCATTAGTCGACCGATAAACGGATACACTACAGGGTCAGAAAAACAGGTTCTGGACAGTCGACTGATAGACTAGCATCAGTTGACTGATGAAGCACTACTGGTCGACTGATGAGCAACCATCAGTCCACCGATAGCGGGATTCCTGGGCCGATCTGGATTCTTGTTTTGGGCGAATCTTATTTGTGTTTGTCTTGGATATTTACCACTTTATCACCCACGTTGTTTAACATATAAATAGAGGTTGTTTAGGGTTTCCAAACATCAGATTAAAGTTTTGAAAGGATAGAGAGGTTGTTTTTTATTCTAGAGAAATTGTGAGGGAAGAGATCTGTAATCTTTTATTCTTCATAATATAGAGAAGGTATTTTCCTTCGCCAAATTGAATTGTTAGTGTGTTTTACTATTTTCTTAACAAAATATACTTTTGATAATTCCGCGATCAAAGGTGCTCGCATGGCGACTTGTATCAACCGTTTCATGATAGAAGTATTCAATAATGTAAAGAAATAGGATATGTGCTTTTAAGTTTTTATTGTTCGTAACTTGTACGCCTTTCTTTCTTTCTTTCTTTCCTTTTTTTTGAATCTCAAACTTGCACGTCTTTCTGTAATTGAGAATCATGATGTTTTAATAGGGAACTTCCATGTTTACATGGCTCTATATAAACCACACCACAACACTATGGAGTTTTCTTCCCTCTACATGTACAATAGACCAACACCAAGGAGTGAATCATAACGCATAATGACTAAGCAAACAAAAATCAGCAGGTTGATCTAGTTAGTTACTTGACCGGCTCTTCACAAAATTTATTGATAAAAATAAAATCTTAAGCCAGTTGCTGCTAAAATTATGACTCTTATCAGGTAGCAACACATGCACGAGAGATACAAAAATAAAAATATTATATAAGTACATGAATATGGAAATCATCAGAAGTCAATGGATACATCATGAAAATGTTAGTGCTTGTGTGTCAGCACATGTACAAAAACAAAACTGTAAAAAATCTGCAACCCATTGATTTACCAAGATTATCATATATCAATGTCTTTTTTGTCTATGAAATTATAAACGGTTATTTATATATTTACCCCTTAAATCATCAATATTTGTAAAGTTACCCTCCAAATCTCACTATTTGCATAAATACCTCTCAAATCATAAAGATTGGAAAAAATACCCTCTACATTGTTCATTAAGTTTCACAGTTCCCTTACCACCTCTTTCTTCCATCTTTCATTTTTTCCCCATTCTTCAAACATTATAAAAACTTTCATAATCCATAACAAACAATTGGAACAACAATAACAATTGTAGTTTATGACGAGAAAGAGTCAAGTAGAAGGGAAGAGGAGAAGACCAGGATGAGTAGGAGGTATATTGGAAAACAAATGACAAGTTAAAGAAATTCATGGGGAATCCGTCAATCGAGGCTGCGATAAAGCTCAAGAAGAAGAGCTTAACAATGAGCTGGATGACAACCCCCTCGTTGAGTTATTTAAGAAGAGAATTAATGGTTAGATTGCAAATCAAGAGAGAGAACGAGAGGTTGAGAAGCTGGTGGAAATTTTCAAGGCTTTGAACATTAACAAAGTATTGTTCATGAATTGTTAACAATAATGTTGTGTAATTCTAGAAATATTGTTGTTTTGATTATGTATGGGTGATTTACAATTGAAGAGTTGTTTTGTGCATGATAACATTATTTGCTGTGGATATCCACAGGTTTAGGGATGGAAGGATATTTACTGGGCATTTGAGGAGACCCATCGAAAAAATCATGCGCAAATTAGAAAGAAAGCTTTCGGAGGCAGCAGGAAGGAGGATCATCATATCACCTAATGCTCTACACAAATAGAAGCTAAATTCACCAAACAAACTGGAACGAGAAATTTTTTATCTAACAAAATTACGAAGGGTAAAAGGGTAAAAATACCCCTACTCTGTTTGATAACTGATGAAGCTTGAGTGGAGGGTATATTTTTTCCAATCTTGATAATGAGGGGTGGTATTGTAAATAGTGAGATATGAGGTAATTTTGCAAATATTGATTATTTAAGGGGTAAATATACAAATAACCAACTATAAAATCATAGTTGAGCGATTCCCCAGAGCCCCTCGAAGCGATTCCCCAGAGCCCCTCGAAGCATTGTACAGTTCTTGCAAACCAATTTCTAGTACATTAGGGAACTGATTCCCCCTGTTACACGAATTCGTTCCTCGAAATTGGCATACTGCTTACAAGTATGCGGGGCGCAAAGTCCCTTTAAAGTGCACAAGTGCTAAACGCAATGCACTATGCACAATCGAGTGAAGGGAGGCACGCAATAGAATATATGATTCAATAACTTTACTATAACTAATTATCTATGTTAATAAAACGTGAAATAAAATCATGATATCCCAATACAAACTATGTGAAAAGAAAAATAGAACAAAAGAATGACATCTAATAAAAGAAGCATTTAAGTATTTTATATGAAAAAATATTGAAATGCATAATTAGCTTTTGAGCCAGTTTTCTACTATGCCCTTTGGAAAACAGTAAGCATATCCGAAAAATATTTACAACGTACCACTGACTAAACTTGCACACCGAAGCAAACTACCTCCTGGAATCCAAATTTTTTTAGTGACCAATTGCATAGTTGAATTCGTCCCATAACCTATTATATACCATGTAATGTGTAACTATTTATAGTATAAAAAGTGACCTTTTGTTTTCTTCAATAAAAAAAGAGCTATTTTGGAATCCAAAAAGTTAATGCGAATTAATTTTTTTAGGAAGTAACATGTAAAAGACTCAATAGCTTCGAAAATATGTAACCCATTGATTTACCAAGATTATCACATATCGATGTCTTCCTGGTCTATCAGACTATAAATACTAAATAGTAAGTTGCCTTTTGTTTTTCTTCAAAACAAAAAGTTCGCGTGAAATCCAAAAAAGAGCATGCAAATTAACAATTTTAGGAAGTAACATGTAAAAATCTCAGTAGCTTTTGAATTTCGGTAAAATTGTGTTAAATTTCAATTTTCAAGTAAGATGTATCGGGTTGCAAATAACACCCATAAACATAAGTCCTCATGTCAAATGGCAAAATATTTCCATAGATTGGGATTAAAATCTGACCCACATAATAATATTACCTTTAATAACTTGCCGCAACTCAGATTAGACATCATATAACTCCTTGATTTATTGGAAGGAAGAACATCGTGTCAATTCTACCACCAACCTAGTAACATAACTACACGCATACAGTTTATTTTTCACGTTTTCAATCCAAGTTTGATCTCTAAGAAGCAAAAAGAGATTTCTCATATTAATCCGCTGAAAAAGGATACTAGAAACAAGCAAAGAATTGTTGGCAGCTGAAAATTTCCTCTCTATTTTTCTTCACACGATCAAAGAGTCAAATGATCATCACATTGATGGTATGCATTTCTTTTTTCTGCTCACTTCTTCCTCATGAAACATTTGCAAACACTTTGCTGGGTGGGTTATACTATCAGAGACTTCCATAAGACTGTATGGGGCTTTTCCGAGAATGATGCTTAGGATTCAACAGGTCATGTCATTGACTCGTTGATGGTAGATTTGGGTACTTTGTCTGTAGAGAGATCTCGTCCAATTCTACCTATACATTGTTCTTTTCTTCCTTCACTAGCTTTGGACTCCTAAGCTATCTCTACTCACTATATCTACATCAAACTACACTGAATTAAGATTAATATTTTCTTAGCTATTTCTTCAAATATCCAGCAAATTCTGGAAATTGGACTGGAACTGACCACTGACACATGCTAACTTGCTCACTTGGTTGTCACTTTGCAAAAGCAAGGCTACTAACAAGAGAAATCTTCTGGCTGTTCTAGTCTCATAGTCAGATACACTTTATGCTGCTCCTAGAAATTCATAAAAGTCGACACTTTTGTCAATACTTGTTGGAAGGATTACATGTTCCTCTTTCTTTATGCTTTTAGGTTCTCTTGGATCAAATATACTAATCAATAAAAGGCATGGCAGTTTAAATGCCCACATTAAAACACAACACTGAGGTTTAGGGTATTATGTCAAATTGTCAATAATTACCTGCCTTCGGAACATATTAAATATTGTTTACTCAAGTGACACTCTGATATCCTAATTCACTATTATATATGCTCAGGTCAGATTGTTTAAAAAGCACCCCCTAAGCTACTCCTAATTCTCCCCAGTGTCAATATCCTTTCACAACAACATGAAACTAAACTCTTTAGTACCACATTCACATTCAGGAATCTCAGGCTACCAAGCTACATTTTACCAAGTCAACATAAAGCCAAAAGTTAAATCTCAAGTCACAACAGCCATGGACTTGACATGTTTAAGAGAATCACTCTACCAATAAGATGCTATCAGCATTCTCTAAAGATGATGGTAAATATATAAGAGCTAAACCAAGTTTCTAGTCAGGTTCTTATGTAAACAAACATATGACATGTAATAGTTTTCCGATACAGAATATGAGATACTAAAACAGAATGTAAATGATTTTCAAGTTATACAGACCTGCATCCACCCCTTCCATTCCTCTGTTTGGTGTCGATTCAAATAAAGTATGGCTTTTCCTGAGAATGCTGACTTATCATGATGCTTCTTGAGAGAAGTCAGGGCTGAAGCTATGATAAGGAGAGCGTAGAGAAAGAGAAACAGGTCACGGCTGTAACTCTGACAAGGAGAAGGCAGGGAACGAAAAAGATAAGTGGCTAGAAAACTGCAAACAAATTGAGATTATTTCTATCTATCAGCTAAAACTATAAATGATGACACTTCCACTGGAATAGGAAAACATAGAGACAGCACATTGCAGATAGTTTGGTGAAAACTTCTACTTTGCCATGTAAACATTGGCTTAGACATGAGTAAATGGATACACATAAAAAACTCAACATGGTATATTAATTGCTGACGATGGGAACAAACTATATGCATTATCATATTTCTTTAATGAAATCCAATTAGTATGACAGCAAATGGTTAGCTAAAAGAAAAGGACAACGTCTTGATGATGTTTTAGTATAGTGACACATAACCACAATCAACTATCAGTTACTTGGATACACAAAAATAATCATTTAGATAGCAACCCATGAATTTGGGAAGGATCAATAGGATCACCATCTGCTAACATGACCGAAACAAGATCGATACCTACATGTTTGTATCTCAAGTTATATGCAACTCGAAAAATTTATGTTCAGATGCTACACAAAACAAAAAAAATCAAGAATTTGTTCTATAACGACATTAATTTATCAGAATAAAAGAGTACAATGAATAGTATTTGAATGTACAGAAATGACAGTAATAGGATAAAGTCTGTGATGAACATCGGTCTCAGTTGGCTCTTAAAATTAAGTTCCAATTGTTCATCTGAAATCATGGCTAGTTACATAATCATCACAGGTGCACAAAATTATATCAACGGTTCAATTTTCAAAAACCGCAATGTAGTTTTTTAATTTTCATGCATAGATCTAAGCAAACACCTTTTTAGATTCCGGAATCAAGTTTGTTCGATCACATAGGTAGAAGAAAATAAGAGTTGCCCCAAACTCCGACCTGAATAACATCTAAAGGTTAATCAGAAAACAAGTAAAACAATGATGCTTCCTTCAGAGAAAATAAATGCCAATGATCTTACATGGCTCTTAATATTGCTCGATTTTCAAGCAAAAAGGAATCATCCATTGTTATAAACCTACAGGGAAAAAAGAAACAATGTAAACATGAAAAAGTTGACATTTTACTAAGTCCTGACTCCTGGGTGAAGAATGATGATTGCAATTTCATAATTTTATCTTTTCAGTAACCTGATTAAATTTGATCGGACAGAAGAACTCTGAAACTTTGCAGATGCTGATTTTGAGACACCTCCTTCAAGTAATACAACCTGACCATCTTCCTTGACTGTTCCATTTCCTAATTCAACCAAATTGACATCTGAATGGCTGTAAATGAGACAGCCATTTGTTACAGGCACGTTATTCATGTATTTATAAGGACTTATGGATTATTGATGTAACACATGCATTAGATGGAAAATGTGTTTGAGACTATAGGCAACGTTAGTAATTAGCTTTATTCTGGCGAGGTACTATTTACAAAAATAAATAAATATCACATTTGAACTATGGGAAACAGGGGGGGGGGGGGGGGGGGACTGCATGATTTTTGGATTAAGTTTAGTCGTGATTTACCAATAACGCAGCATTAATATTCTAAATAAAATGCTTGATAAACGAAAGCAGATAATATTCTCCTTTAGAATCTTATAAAATACGGTCATGAATAATTGCAGGGGGAATGACCATTTAAGTAGCCCTCATACCTCACAGAATTAACCATGAAAGTTAAAATTAACCTTAGCACTATATATATGAAATCTTAAATTGTAGAGAAAATCTTACACTTTTGGAGGAGAGGAAGGTTTCCTATACTCCAAGATCTCTGAATATACCCAAGCGCTAAATACAGGAAAGAAACCAAGCAAAAATGACACCTGCGACAGAAGTAAAAGGTCATTAGTGAAGTAACAGAGATATATTAATCATCAGAATTTGTTGAACCATAACAAAATGATTCATACAGCTTAATACGTCAAATACATGTGACACAAACATTAATTGATTAAATGCCCCTTGAAAACACAAGAACTGTATGGGATTCAGATGGCATATATAATGATCAATTACCATGTAGGAGGCAAAGTTTGAACCAATTATTCTATTGGATGGCGAGTTTTGGAACTAAAATCAGCTGAAGCCTGGAGGCTTACAACAGTAACAAACTAATGAAGACAAAGAATAAAATAGAGACCAAGTTGACAAAGAAAACAAATTATTATTACCAAATAGACCTTAATCCTCAAAATTGTCAAGTATATTAGATGATATTAAAGTTAGAATCAACTCCACAATATTGTTAAAAGCAACACGTACATCGTGTAGCTTTAGCTTTGCTAGATAGGGCTTTAAAAAAGTGCAAACTCTCTAGTATGGACAAATGATGCAGGACAACTTTGGGCAGTTGGAGATAGAAGTGAAAATTTATCTCATAGGAAGAGTTATTATTCCTTAGTATTGGAGAAATTGGTACATCTTTGATTTTTGAGTTTAGGTTGGATATTTGATTTGAAATTTAGGATTGGATATTTGATGTGAATTTAGATAAGTTATTTGAAATTTGAATGGGAGTGTTTAGTCTAGGCATACCTAGTATGACCCAGATCTTAATGAAGAAAACGATTGATTTTGTGATGAAACCCAATGGTTGAATGCTTATATGTTTCATATTGGTTTGAGGCCAGTTTTTATACCTCGAAGGTTTGTCCTCTTTT